ACTTGAGGACATAGTTATTGGGTTATATGAGAGATACCATGTAGTCCCAGGCTCACAGACCGGCCCAGGACAGGGGCCAGAAGCCTATAGTCACAGACGGAAACCCTGGCTACGTTTATAAGTGTTTCCCCCCTTCCATTTTGACACGTTGTAACATCTGAGTAAAGAAACAGTGTGGGACAGAGAAAGGAGCGAAAAATTTGAATTCAGGTCCTGCTCCCATCTGAGCTTTGTGTCCTTTATGTGGCTTTGGACCTTAACAACCCTTAATGCCTCTTCATCTGTACAGAGGATTTCTGTGGCATATGGTTCTTATAAGAATCAAATGAAATCTGGGGTGCCTGGGTGGCTCAGTCAGTTAAGTGTCTGACTTAATCAACTCAGATCATGATCTCATGGTTTGTGAGTTCAAGCCCCGCATTGGGCTCTGTGCTGACAGCATGGCGCCTGCTTGAGATTCTCTGTCTCCCTCTTTCTGTGCTTCCCCCCAAAAATAAACTTTTTTTAAAAAAAGAATCAAATGAAATCCAACAAGTGGAAGTAGATAGATTTGTGGGATCCTCACTGTGGGCTAGGCACTGAAATTTTCTTTAGTTATATCATCAAATCCTTAGAACAACCCATAAACTGAAAGAGACTGAATTACTTTATTTGTCATACAGATAAGTGCTGCAGTCCAAATACATTTCTTCAGTATTTCATATTCCAAAGTCCTTTGTCCTGAGCCTTCCTGGATAGACATCCTCCCACCAGCTGAGTCTCTGAAATAATGCAGGAGGGCCATTTCCATAGTCTCTATACTAAGAAAAGTTCAGAGAAGAAGAGCATTTAGAAAAAGAACGCATTGAGGTATTTAGAGTATATTTTATTGACCAATAGTTCATAAAGCTACTTAAATCTTTGATAAATAATGAGTCCAGTTGTCAAAACCTGACTTTAAAATATGGCCTTGGCATGTGACAGGCAAAAGAAAAAAATGATGCTGTAGATGGAGAATTAACCATGACCTCATGATACAAGGAATGGATAGAGCGTCAATAGAAGCAGACCTTTGTAAAGAATTAGGCAGGATTACATCCCAGAAGCTATGGCCTTTCTAAGGAGATGCAAGTGTAACAGAGCTGGAAGGAAAGAGGGAGAGGCCAGTGGTCCTTCTAGCAATGTGAGGAGGAACCACAGTGAGGTATAAACCAGGGCAGAGAGACTCCTTGGGAGATGATCTGCAATCTTTTAGCCAAATAGGAAAGGAAGCTATCATATTGCAGAAGTAGATTTGATGAGATTTATTCATTTGTTGACATTTTTTCCTAAAATGTCAGTCAGAGTGTGTTAGAATATATTGTAGGGCTAGGAAAATTTGCTTTGAAATGAGCTGTCCTGGGTTTGAAACCTAGCCACGTGACCTTGGACAGAGTTTCTAAAACTACCTCATCTTCATTTTATTTATCTGTAAAATGGGGAGAATGGTAGCATACCATTCTTGGCATAGGTTGGGAGGATTAAATGAATGTGTGCCAGTGGCTTAACACAGAGTAAGTATAATGGTAGAGTGCTCAGTGTGTGTTTTTTATTATTGTGTCACACCCTGATTAAACATCTCCTATTGACCTTCTCTACTGTTGGATAATGTCCCAATCTCTTATAATCCTCTATGATCTGGCTCCATTCCACTCTAAACTCTATGTCCAAGATGCAAATATCTTCAAGAGCCCGGTAAGCTAGGTGAGACTGTGGCAAAGTGGAGGCCACATAGTCCATCAAAAGGGGGCACCTGCTATACTCCCTGGTAGCTCTTTGCTTTCTGGGAAGGGGAGCCTAGTGTGGTTCCCTTTGAAGAGATGTCAGAAACCTGGACTTTGCATGAAATCTCCAAGTATTAAATGTGGATGACTCTGTCAGAATTCTAGGACCAGCAAAGGCCCATCTGCAGGCTGGAAAAGGGCACAGCTTGCATCTGCTGTTTCGTGCCCTTCCCCAGCCTTGCTGACTGCTTGCTTTTCCTTAGATAAACTTCATTCCTTCAAGCCTTAATGCTTTTTAGAAAAATTTTGAGTGTACTTGACACACAAGGTTATATTAGTTTCAGGTGTATAACACAGAGATTCAACAAGTTTATACATTATGCTGTGTTCACCACAAGTACAGCTATGATCTGTCCCAATACATCACATCACTATTAGAATATCATTGACTGTATTCCTTGTGCTGTGCCTTTTATTCCCATAATTTATTCATTTAATAACTGGAAGTCTGTATCACCCAGTGCCCTTAACTCATTTTGCTCAATCCTTCACCTCTGTCACCTCTGACAACAACAATGTGTTGTCTGTATTTAAAGGTGTGCCCTAGTGCTTTTAGACATGCAGTCACTCTGCTTAGATTGGCCTTGGTTCTTTCTCTCTTGAACTAGATTGTTCTTTTAGACAAGGCTCAACCTGCTTTCTCTGAACCAATTACTTCTTCCATTGTGATAGCAGAGCATTTCATAGAGCATTCTATTCTAGTGCTTAAAACATACATTTGCTTTTTTATTTAGATATAATTATTGGGGCGCCTGGGTGGCTCAGTCAGTTAAGCGTCTGACTTGAGCTAATGTCATGATCTCATGGCTCATGAGTTTGAGCCCTGCATGGGGCTCTGTGCTGACAGCGCGGAGCCTGGAGCCTACTTTGGATTCTCTCTCTCTTTCTCTCTCTCTGCCCCTCCCCCACTCACACTATGTCTCTCTTTCTCTTTCAGATATAAACATTAAAACATTTTTTTAAAAAGAAATTTATTTATTAAGCACCAGAATGCCTACCAGCTATGGCCTAAGCTGGACTCCCTGCTCCCCTGGTGCTTATATTCTGCTGTGGTGTTCATGTGTGAGTCCTCCCTTGAGAAAGTGAGCTCCTTAAGGGCAGGGACCATGTGCTGTCAGTCTGGTTTCCTCAAATAAGCTCAGTTAGTCTGATGCCAGGTATTAGTGTCCTCTAGCTGCAGTAACAAATTTCCACAAACCTCTTTTCTTAAAACAATACAAGCTTATTATCTTAAATTTATAGGGTTCACTAGCCTTAGGGGGGGTCTCACTGGACCAAAATCAAGTGTCAGCAGGGCTCTGTTCCTTCTGGAGGCTCTAGGGGAGAATTTATTTCTTGCCTTTTCCTGTTTTCTAGTGGCTGCCTGCACTTCTTGGTTTGTGGCCCCTTCCTCCATCTTCAAAGTAAGAGTGTAGGATCTTATCATGCTTAAGACTATGACTTCCCTTTTTTTCTCCTTCTTCCACTCATAAGGCCCACCTGGGTACCCAAGAATATCCCAGGATATCTTCTCATTTCAAGGTTAGCTGATTAGCAACTGTAATTGCACTTGCAATCTTAATTTTCCCTTGTCATGTAATGTAGCATATTTACAGGTTCTAGGGAACGTACTCACATAGTATGTAATCTTTGGGAAGACCATTATTCTCCCTATCACAACTGGGAAACCAAATGAATGAATGAATGAGTAAATGGTGAACGATGAAGGAAACTCTCAGAGGGTGGGAACCAGTTGTGTTAGCCACAAAAGGCAGAAACAGTAGTAAATATCTCTGACCGGGAGGAGTTCATGATCAACTGGATTGAGGAATGGTGGTGGTTGGGGGTCTTCCAAACGTCCCTTCTTAGATTGAAATTCTCTGACTCCTGTAGACTTTCCCTGACACACCAGATTAAGATCAGATCCTTGCTTTGTGCCCCCAAGGCAGCCTCCTTAAGAATACATCCTCATATTTGTGATGCTAGTTGACTAAATGCCTTCCAGGGGCACCTGGGTGGCTCATTCAGTTGAGCATCCAACTCTTGTTTTGGCTCAGGTCATGAGCTCAGGGTTGTGAGATTGAACCTGCATTGGGCCATGCTGGGCATGGAACCTGATGAAGATTCTCTCTCCCTCTACTGCTGGCGTGCTCTCTCTCTCCGGGGGGGAAAAAAAAGGAAAAAAGAACAATTCTAAAAATTCAAAACCTATTCATTTTATTTTAAAATAAATAATGTTAAAAAATTAAAAATAAAATAAATGAAAATAAATGCTTTCCACTAAATCTTACAGGTAATGCATACAATAAAAACATATTTGTCTTGTTTCTCAATGTGTAGCATTAAGCAGAGGGCCTGACATATGATAAGTGTTCAAACACTGTTGAGAGAAAAAACAAATGAATAAATAAATGAAGAATTAGAGAAAAATGGAGTGTTCAAACCACCAACTATTTGTTCTGCATTTGAGCTTTGTAACCTGGGACCATGAACTTTCTTTTTTAAAATTTTTAATGTTTATTTATTTATCTTAGAGTTAAAACAATTTTTTTAAATGTTTTATTTATTTCTGAGAGAGAGACAGAAAGCATGAGCGGGGGCGGGGTGGGTGGTCACAGAGAGAGGAAGACACAGAATCTGAAACGGGCTCCAGGCTCTTGAGCTAGCTGTCAGTACAGAACCCAACATGCGGCTCGAACCCACAAACCGTGAGATCATGACCTCAGCCGAAATTGGATGCTTAACCAACTGGGCCACCCAAGCACCCCTGTTTTTTTATTTTTGAAAGAGAGACAGAGCATGAGTTGGAGAGGGACAGAGAGAGGGGGAGACACAGAATCCAAAGCAGACTCCAGGCTCTGAATTGTCAACACAGAGCCCGATGCAGGGCTCGAACTTGTGAACCATGAGATCATGACTTGAGCTGAAGTTGGACACTTAACTTACTGAGCTACCCAGGTGCCCCATGAGACCCTGGCATACAAATTGGGAGGGCGAGCATATGTACCTTTTTCTCATTGGGGAGCAAAGGGCATTTATCAGGTTCTCAAAGGAGTCCATGACCAAGAACATGGAAGAAGCACTGGTCTAAGTGTGCAGAGTTCAGGGATGAGAGTGTTTGGCCATGGTACAGGGAGGCAGAATGCTGTCCTGGGAAAGGTAGACTGACTTCTTACTAATAAAGGTAACCAGGCTTTTGTATATGTCTCCCCCCTCTAGGAGAAGAGAGTGTGCTGTCCCTCCTGACCCAGGACTCAAACTCCAAAGCTCGGCGGGGTATTTTAAGAAGAGCTGTTTTTTCTGAGGATCAGAGAAAGGCTCTGGAGAAAATGTTTCAGAAGCAGAAATATATCAGCAAAACAGACCGAAAGAAACTTGCCATCAGCTTGGGACTAAAGGAATCACAGGTACTAATGAACAAGAAGATGTCCACTGCTCCTGATTTCTGAAGGAATACAATGAAACCCATTCATTTTGCAAATATCTGTTGGTACTGGTTATGGTGCTGGACCCTAAAGTGCTACTGAAATGATTTTGACAGTGTTTTAGTGGGTGGAAATATATATCGCAATTCCTATTTGGAAATAGGTCCATTTGCTGAGGGGTCTAGTTTTTTGCATGAATAAATTTTCCTAAATGAAGAGAAACACTAAGGATGTAGCATTTATATCATTAATTGTTTACTCTGGTTTCAGAGTAGACCACATAATATTCTACAAAAGCAGAAACCAATTTTCTTGTTTTTGTCTTAATTTCCAATCCCAAATCGAGTCCCAAATATGTGACTCATAAAAATCCTAAATAGATTTCATTACTCTGCATTTCGGGCTTATGTCAAGTACAGGAAAGTAGTTTCATAGCTGCAACACTTACAAACCTTACTTGTACGTTAAGGTACTAGTATTGTACTATTTAATCATTTTATAATCACCATATGAAATAAGCAGTGTAATCATCCTCACTTTCTAGATGAGGAAATGTAGAAAAGTGAACATAGATAGGTCTGATGTCATGTGGTGAAGCTGCTTGGGAGTTGGGCTCTTGCCCCAGGTAACCTGAGCTTGTATTCTTCAGCTGGTGCTGTATCGTTGTGCAGGATATTCACCGCACAAGGCAATTGGCTAAGAGCGATGGCAGCAATTGAAATGTAGCAGGTATTCCTTCTGCCAAGCTGGCTTTTCTGATGCAAGGCTATGTCCACTTGCCTCTTTGAATTAGCCGAAAGGCACTGAAGTTGCTAGCAGAGTCTCTCTGTTAACCACCATGCTCAGCTCTTCTTGCCTCAGTACAAATGACCTGGTTTCTAACTTTGGATTTTATTAAACCAGTTATTTTTGGATGAAACTCTCCTTAACCTTTCTTTCTTTCTATTTAACTGCTTCCTTTCCCTAGGGAAGTGATCTGTCCCCACTCCCCCGCCCCCAACTTTTTCTGGTTGTAGGAAGCAATATGTGGTGTGGTAGAGCATAGTTGGCCTAGATCAGCTTTCCTCATTGTGTGGTACTGATGAGTCCCTAACCTTAATTGACTGCTCTGTGCCTCAGTTCCTCTCTTCAAAAACAGGGACAAATATAGGAATTCTCTGTATGTCACTGAGCAAGGTTGTGTATATGATAGATAAATCAGTTGTGTGCAAGACACTGCAAAGTAGGCAGTAAGAAGGAGTATTGATAAGTACCAATTAAGATACACTCTGCACTCAGGAATTTATATAAGCAACTGGAAAAATGAAGCAGATGGTCATGAACAGTTAGATAATAATATAAGACAATAACCTAGGAGACATCACCTGGTAGGTTAGATATACTGCCAGATAAAGGAGCTAGGTCAGTGGTCCTCAAATTTCTGTATCTCTCTGGAGCATTATGTTAATATCCATGTCTGGAAAGGACAGCCATATGACTGGCCCTCATATACCCCTGAGGAATCTAGGGATGGAACTGTCTCATCCTTAGAGGAATCATTAGGGCTAACTAATGACAAACAGGAGCTCAGTATGAGCAGCCTGCATCTCACTGGTATGGATAAAAAACTCCAGAGTTATAGGGGAGAAACTGTGCAGGTCGGGGAGGTTGAGTCAGAACTTAAAGTGTTAAAAGAGGAAACATGGCTAGGTTTGATCTGACAGTGCTCTGAGACAATGTGAATGTCTTTGATAATACATGTCATCTTCTTTTTTTAAAAATATTTTTTAACGTTTATTTATTTTTGAGAGAGAGAGTGCTAGCAGAGGAATGGCAGAGAAAGAGGGGGAGACAGAATCCAAAGCAGGCTCTGCACTTACACAGAAAGCCTGATGTGGGGCTTGAACTCACGAACCATGAGATCATGACCTGAGCTGAAGTCACAAGTCGGTTGGATGGCCAACTGACTGAGTCACCCAGGCATCCCAGTATATATCATCTTAAGAACAAACTATTAGAAAGAGGATACAGCAAGCATATCAGAGAATATTTATGAGGAGATGACCATAATCTGTCATCCAAGAAAACAAACTATTTTCCTAGTTTGTATGTTGTCTTCTAGTTCTTATTCACAGGTATATAGTTTTACATAGTTGATTGTATTGTTTTTAAAATTCAAGTGCCTGAGGAATGAATACTTTTTATGTTACTGAATTTGGTGAACATCTCAGGAGTAATTTCACATTTTCTTATTTGCGCATACATCCAATTACACAATTAACACATGGCATTTCAAACAAAAGGGAAATTGGTAAAGTTAAAAATGAAAACTCATCTCCTCCCCTTCCTTCATTACTACTCCTTCATTACTACTGTCATTCACAAATGGCTCGTTTGAATTTCTTTGCTGTACCATGTATTTTCTTTATCTTTAAAATAAATTAACACAAATGCATTACATATGATTACCATGTGTCCTTACATTCGATGTCATTTATCCTCACAGTGGCCCTATGATGTATCCACTTTGATTTTATAACAGGGACCTAGAATTGAGATCCAGAATTGTGTGTGTGTGTATGTATGTTATTTCTCCTTAACTGCTTCTTTTCCCTATATATATAAATGGGATTGTTTTCCACATATATCTTGACTTTCTGAAGGAGAATACAGATCATCTGTATTACCAACACACAGATCAAGAAGGAAAACCTCATCACCAGGCCAGTAGCCCCCTGAAGATTCCTTCCCAGTTACTGCCTCCTTTTCTGAGGCTACCTACTATCCTGACTCTTAACAGCATAGATTAGTTTTGCCTATTTGGGAGTAGTTTATATAAACAGAATCATTCAGTACACATTCTGTGGTATATGGCTTCTTTTCCTGAACATTATGTTTGTGAGATTCATTCACATGGTTGCGTGTAGTAGTAGCTCATTTGTACGCATGGCTGTGTAGTATTCCATCACATGGTTTACCACAGTTTATCCATCCAAATGATGGGTATTTGGATTGCTCCCAATTCTTAGCTATTACTTGTAGCAGTTATTGTAGCTGTTATCAAAATAGTTGGAATGTTATAGTTGGTGACATTTTCTTGTTACAGCCATTGCAAGCTTTCCAAGTTTGTGGGGTTTTTTTTTATTGTGGAAAAATATACGTAACATAAAATTTACCGTTTTAACCTTTCTTGAGGGTACAATTTAGGGCATCAAGTACTTAGTTCACATTGTTGCACAGTCATGACTACAATCCATCTCCAGAACTTTTTTCATCTTGGAAAACTGAAACTCTATCCATTATGCAGTGACTCCCCATTTCTCCTTCCCTCCAGCCCCTGGCAACCACAGCTTTCTGTCCCTATGATTTGACTGTTCTAGGTACTTTCAAATGAATGGAATCCTTTGTATTTGTCCTTTTGTGATTGTTTTAGGTTTATTTCACTTAGCATATCTTCAAGGTTCATCCATGTTGTAGCATGTGTCAGAATTTAAAGGCTGAATAATTTTCCATTGTATGGATATACCACATTTTGTTTATGCATTCACCCATCCATGGACATTTTGGTTGCTTCTACCTTTTGGTTATTATGAAAAATGTATGAACATGGATTACAAGTATCTCTTTGAGTCTCTGCTTTTAATTCTTTAGAGTAGTTTGTGACTTTTTCATATATTGTGGTATCTTTGTTTACACAGAAATTTCTTATTTTTATATTGTCAGCTCTATTTTTTCTTTTGTGGCCTTAAGGTTTTATATCATGCTTAAAAAAATTCATCTTTCTGTGACTGTAATGATAATCTCTTACAGTTTTTTCTAGCAATTTTATATTTTTGTTTCAGTGTTTAGCTGTTTAATCCATTTGGAAATTGCTTTTTTATTTGTTGAGAGGTAGAAATTTTCATTTATGGTTTACCCCACATATGTACCTTTGTTTCGGAACTGTTGATTGTGAGGGAGATTTCTTGATGGTTTTTTTTTTCACTGAGATATTACCCAGAAACAACTCTTGATATGCAGAAAAGTGATAGGAAGACAAAAATAATGAATGTAGCACCAGTGAGCACAAATAAATGTCTTCGTGAAAGCCCACTAGAAATATTTGGCAGGCTTTCTAGGAGTACATGCTCACTGCAAACAATAAGTGAGTTCATGAATAGAACCAAATGCTCTGGTATGTACGCTTTAGTACTGTTTCCTTATGAAAAGCCTTAACCTCAGGATTGTAACTGAGATGGTAGTCTTTTGGACTCACTTGCCTGGGGTCAGGTTCTTTGTGGCCATTTTGAAATTTCTGGTCGGGCTGAAAGAATGAAGAAATTGTTTGGCCAATCTGAAAAGATCATCTCAATTTTTTCCTTCATTGGGAGAAACGTTTGGCAACACTTTAGTGATTATTTTCTTAGGTAAAAATTTTCTAGTTTTTGTTTCAAACATAGAAATCCACTGAATCGGTCATGTAAAGATGCAATGTAATGCTAAGGAAAACAATGTGATTGGCTTCTAAGATGTCAGGGAAACCAGTTGTGAAGTTTTCTGATCAGGCACAGTTGACTATGTAGCAGATAAAGACAGAGGTTAGTAGTAAAGACAGACTCCAGTAGGGAGAGGCAGAATGTGGCTCAAATTAGAAACCACGATCATAAGTACTTTTGTGTTAATTATGGTTGATGTTTATTGAGCCTAGTTCTTCAGTTTGATAAATCCTTGGAGTAATCAAACTTGGAAACTGCATAAAGCCTGGAATTTAACAAAGCATTATGAAATGTATTCTTAATTTAGTTTTCTAGAAGCTCCTGATGAAATCTGAATATTATAAGAGCCTGAGCACTGGAGTGGGACAGTCATGGATTCTATTCTAAGTGCTTCCATTTTACTAGCTGTGTGACCTTGAACTGGTTTATCATTCTGAACCTCAGTTTTCATACATGTGAAATGAGGACTTCTTGCAGCCACTGTGAGGTTCAAGTTATGTATTCCATAGAGCATGCGTAGCTTGATACGAAATAAACACTGTTACTAGTCAATACTATTTCCTTTGTGTAAATCATTTAGCATTGCTTAAATGATATTTTAAACTACCAAGAGTTAAATCAGTCTTGAAAGAGGTCATACTTGCAGGATGTAACTGATCTATCACAATAGTTTTGTTTCTTAAGTGTGGGGATATTATACTAAAGTAATTTCTCAGATATTTTTGAAGGAGCCCAGTGAAAAGCGTTAAAGACTTTGCTAGGCTGGCTCTCATCGTAAGGTATTTCGTAGAAGGCATAGTAGGGGAAAGTACAGTTTAAAATGCTGAAGTGAAGTAACATGGAGTAAGTGATTGTTTTGTCCAATTATTTTGTCAATAGGTGAAAATTTGGTTTCAGAACAGAAGAATGAAATGGCGGAATTCCAAAGAGAAGGAAGTGCTTTCCAACAGGTGTATCCAAGAAGTAGGCCTTCAAGAGGATCCCCTCTCACGGTCTGCTCTGGGGTTCCCTTCTCCATGTCCTTCGCTCTGGGGAGTCTCCCAACAGCACTCAAGTCCAGGATGGAGGGAGAATTCACCAGAACCTTCCGAAAGACTGATCCAGGAGAGTTCAGGGGCACGGCCCCCAGAAGCAAATTCACTTCAGGGTGCCTTGTATTTGTGTTCTGAAGAAGCTGGAGACAAGGGTGTACTTACTGGGGCTGTCTGAATGGAAGCCTCCCTCCTTGTTAATTTGAAAAGGACGCCTAACTAATAACATTTGGACTCTAAAGCCAGCTAGCTTGTGCCTCATCAGTGCCTAAAACATAATACCTTTGGAGTGATGCACGAACTAACGCTTTAGGAAACCCTCTCCAGTGTTCTCTTGTTTGGCTCCCAGACTCAGGCTTAATTTTTAATTTGTAAGTGGAATAGAATCTCCCAGAAAGTACAATGGAACTGAAAACAATGAGAGTTATAGTTAGCTCGTCCCTCCTCTGAGTATGTGTATATATGTGTGTGTTTCTATGTGTGTATATATATATAAATATTCATTGAAATACATCAGTAGGAACTAGTTCCTCTTTAAATATTGCATCGAGCAAATTCATTTCCTTTTATTTGCAGAAAAACCAACTGTTGACTGAATGTTATTAACTTTTTGAAAGTAATGTAAAATTTGGATTTTAGTCCAAATTTTCATACATAAGAACATGTTTTTAAAAATTCTCTCTTTTCTGGTTTCTTTCAGAATCTAGCTATCAGTGAATTTTCACAACTCAGCACAGCTGTCCTAATCGAATGAGCCACTGTTAGATACATACACTGAAAGCATATACTTAAAATTAACACAGCAAGCAAACTATAAGAATTTCTGAATGAAACTATTGGTACCCTTAATTTTCCAAGTCTCTGGCCTTTATTAGGACATCAGTGAGGGACCCATTTAACTAACAGTTATCTTTTGATCTCTTCTCTGTAAGGATGGGCCTTAATTAAGGTTTGCCAAACAAAATGCCTTTAAGGGACTTTGCGTGAATAAAGGGCATGGCCCACCTAAAACTGTTTGAGTTTAATAATTTAAAAAATACTAGGTTGGGCAAATGAAACATCCATGCCAAGCAGTTTGTGACCTCCGGCCAAGATTTAAGGAAGTGTCACGGTTCTTAAAATGTTCCCAACTGGACTTCAAAACACAATACTGACGGAGTCTAGAGTGGATTTCTGTTTGCACTTCTTGTTATAGACTCAATTTTCCACTTAGGTGGTATACACCACATTTTTGGGTTATTTTTATGTATTAACAGACACCACACAGATGTTTTATGTGTTTTGAGTATCCTGAAATAGTATTATTATAAAATTGCATTTCTGGTAACGATTTGCTTAGTAAATCTGGAAATTTTTATTCCAGGTCCAAGAAAAAATTATGTTTCACTTTGAAGGAAATAAGGCAGAAAAAGGAAATGATGTGGTTTTGAACTAGGTTATTATTAATCTGTGGACAAGAAACATTATTAGAAGTTCATGATGTGGAATTTTGTTAGTGAGAAAGCTGTGTAAAGAGAGTGGCTTCTAATTTGCTTACATTCCTAGTTATAGAATTTAAGCCTTTAGGGTTTGAAGAAGGTAATATCTTAGAAGACAACAGTTTCAGTCAGCATGAAGACATTATTTTGTATGAATGTAATTTGAATCGGGGTTTGCTAGCCTGTGTCTTTATCTCTAGATGTTTTACTTAAAAGTCCTCTCAGAAGTAGCTTGTCTCAGTATCTCTGTGGGAAGTAGGAGCAGGGATCTGCTGACAGCAATTTAAAATTTAAAACTTGTCTTTAAATGATTTATAGTAATGTTTCTTTCCTTTGTATAATGTTAACCTCGTTTACATTTATTGGGTCCTTTTTATGCTCTAGAGAGTGTGCTAAGCCTTTAGGGGGAATTAATTCATGACAGTCCTCATGACAATAGTCCTAGGAAGTAGGCACTGTTATTATCAAGAGTCCTGTTACCCAGACGAGGAATGAGGGACAGGACGAAGGCAATGTGGTTAGGGTGATGGCCCTAGGTCATGAGGTTAATGAAAAGAGTTTGGACCCTGGCCACCAAGCTTCAAATCTTGAAATCTTACCAACCATACGGGGGTGCATACCACTGTAGAATGTATTCACCAGTTTATGGGATGCATTGTAAGACATACATTTTGGGGATTGCAGTAAGATTTATTAAAGAAATTCAGAAGCATATTGTACTTTATGATCTCTTACTTGGGGAATGGTTTTCTTTCTAGTGTTCTCTGTTAACTTTGAAGTTTAAGGAAAGTAAGGAATTGCAAAAACCTTCAACTATGAAGCTTCTATAGGCAATAGTCCCATAGAAGTGTTTAAGTGAAATGAGAATGTATTTTTTAAAATCATTCACAGCTAAAAATTATGAAGTGCTTACCTATGGTTAATGGTTCTGGAGGATAACTTGAAGATCAAATGAGAGCAATCTGCTTCATGGCCATCTTATGACCCTGGTGTTAGATGTGGGTTAATTGGTGCTTAGGTGATCTTCCCCCAGGTTTCACCCCAAGCTCTCAGGCTCAGCAGAGGCTCCTCTCTGCAAGGTTGGCCTGATATTCAAATATACAAATAAATATTTTAATTGGTTTCTACTTTGGAATGCATCAAGGCTTAGGAAAAGTATACTTTAGATGACTATATTAGGGATACTTAGAAAACATACACACACACACACACACTTGGTGCACATACATATGTCTCTTACTTTGCCGTCACTTACCTGATGGACAGACCACTGAGCCTGACATTCTAATTGCAAGTTTCCCCCGTCTTTCTCTTTTTTAAAAAGTTTATTTATTTTGAGAGAGAGAAAGAGAGCACAAGCAGGAGAGGGGCAGAGAGAAGGAGAGAGAGAATCCCAAGCAGCCTTCAAGCTGTCAGCATGGAGCCTGATGCGGGGCTCGATTCCATGAACTGTGAGATCATGACCTCAGCCAAAATCAAGAGTCTGATGCTCAGCGGAGCCACCCATATACCCCTCTCTTCTCTCTTAATTTATACTCTGTCAACTCTCCCTCTACGTTTTCCTACCCCCCTCCATTTAAAATACTTAATGTGTACTTTCCTCTTTTCTCTAGATGCAGACTCCTTTTCACCCTGTGATCACATATTAGTATATTGTCCACTTTCCAGACAAATACTGCCCTCATCGGCACCAGGACCAGAGAAGCTTGGAGGCAAAGGTATTTTAAAATTTTTAGAAGAAACTGTCAAATGGATTTTAGGCAGATGAGAAGAAAAGGTGGTTAGCACCATCCTCTAGCTTTTATGAAGATACATATTTTATAAAGCTGAATATCAAGAATTGGAAGTCTATAAGCAGGTTAGGAATGGTAACTGGATCTGGAGACAGTGAAGACCATGATAATTGATGTTGAAAATGCAATTCTATTAGTAATGACATGGGTTCAGTGGGGAACCAGATTGTTTAGTTCAGTGGTTCTCAAACTTTAAAACTCCATGTATGTGAACATGCCGTACCTTCCAACATGTTTTGAGTGTTTGCTCAGATTTAGGCATATACTTCATACATTCTCTTCAACATCATACCTCCCACTCCACACACTGAGAAATGTTATATGTGCTTTTCACGGTTTTAATTTTTAATTTATTTTTTTACTGTTTGTTTATTTTTGAGAAAGAGTGCAAGAGGGGGAGGGGCAGAGAGAGAGGGAGACCCAGAATCCAAAGCAGGCTCCAGGCTCTGAGCTGTCCCCAATGTGGGGCTCAAACTCACAAACCATGAGATCATGACCTGAGCTGAAGTCAAATGCTTCACTGACTGAGCCACCCAGGCGCCTCTCACTTTTCAAATATAAAGTCATATTTGGGGTGTTTGGTGGGTCAGTCAGTGCAGCATCCAACTCTGGAATTCAGCTCAGGTCATGATCCCAGGGACGTGGATCAAGCCCTGCATCAACCCCACACTGAGCACGGAGCCTGCTTGGGATTCTCTCTCTGCCCTTCCCCCTACCCACTCACATGCATACATTCTCTCAAAGAAAGTTATTATCAAATATAAAGTCATGATTAAATATACATGTTCAAGCCACTCAGGTCTTTTCTGGTCCCTTTCATTCCACATTATTCATTTTTTTGTTTTAAAGCTACATACTCCCCAATGTGTTCATGACCTATCCCTCATGACCAGTGACTTCATCAAGCTCTGCTGGGCTTTAATACAGTAGAATTTATTCCATTGTATTCATAAGCTTGTTAGACACCACCTCTTCAGTCACTTCCTTTCTGGATTTCAACACTTATTGGGTATTCTTTGTGAGGCACTGTCCTAGGCTTTATGTAAACAAATGTGAGGGAAAATATGGTCCTTGCCCTCAAGAAACGTAAAATTAGGGGTGCCTGGGTGGCTCCATCGGTTAAGCGTCTGGCTTCAGCTCAGGTCATGATCTCACAGTTTGTGGGTTCGAGCCCCACAACGGGCTCTGTGCTGACAGCTAGCTCACAGCATGGAGCCTGCTTCAGATTCTGTGTCTCCCTCTCTCTCTGACCCTCCCCTGCTCACGCTGTCTCTCTCTCAGAAATAAACATTAAAAAAAAAAAAAAAAAAAAAGAATAGGCAAAAAAAAAAAAGAAAGAAACGTAGAATTATTCTTGCTTAACACCATTTTGATCTATTCCATACTGTTGGTACCTGGGTCCAGTAAATTCGGAACAAAAAATAACTTAACATCCTCTAAAATCCCATGTCTCCATTTGCAGTTGGACGGGTGAAGTTTATTAAGTGCTCCACTATTCAGAAAAATACAAACTATTTGGCATTGTTGGTTTTTTATGCTGTCTCTCCTCCATTTAGGCCACACTGGTCCTAAGAGGAGTCAGAGTCCAAGGGAAGAATTCATTATTCTTTTATTCATAGTGCAACCTACTCTCTACTTTTGTCTTCTACCTTCTCAGATATACTTGTACCCATAGCAGGTCAGAACGGTGAAGGAAAAGCAAATAACACAAGTGACGGGGAGTCAGGATGATGGTATTCTTAATATATAAGAAAATTTTGCAGAATTTACATCCTTTGTAAACCATCATTGAAATAAGCAACTACTTTAAGAATGTAGTACTAGTCCCAGGAAGATGGTTCTTAGTTTCCAGCTATTAGTGGGTTCTGTTACATTATTACTTTTGGTTGTAAGAGTTAAGTATGCTCATTAGGAAGAAACACACTGGAAAATACAGCTAACAAAAATCCTAGTGTAATTCCACCATTTGGATACAGCCAATTTAACTCTTTTGTGAAAATTTTTCACTCTGTATGTACATATAAAGGTGTGTGTGCCTAAATTTGGATCATAGTATATATATCCAGTTTATCCTGCTTTTTCTTACTCAACTTTTAACAGAGAACATTTTACCACGCCATTAAAAAGGGTTGAAACTATTTATGATGGCTACCATAATTTTCCATTGCTAACTCCTTCACTTCTTGAGGTGGACCAGGGGATGGCAGGTCATGCAAATAATCATGGGGCTCGTGTACCAAATAGAGAACCTCTTCCAAAAAGCCACCA